TACCAATTAACTTACCAATTAACTTCTTGTATTTTATTCATTTTTCTTCTGAAGAACATCCTTTAGCAATTCTTTCAGAAAAGAGCCTGTAAGTGATAAGCTTTAAATGTTTTTATGGTCATGTGCTACAAAAATGGCATTTCGGTCAATGATGGACCATGTATATGATGATATGATAGTAGCCTCAGATTAACTAGTGACATAACCAACTTCATGTAAGCACACTCTACGATGTTCACACAGGGACAAAACTGTGTACTGACACTTTCCTTTAAGTGAAAAGACAACCCCAAAATGGCAGAAAATATTCACACATCATTTATCTGCCAGAGTCAGATTCTGTACAGAACTCTCAATGGTGAAAGAAGAAGCAACATCTCCACAGCATGATAGAGCAAGTGCTGGTGTGCAAGTGGCACTGAGTTACCCACCAGGTCCAGCCACACTCACAGCAGGTTTCAACAGATAAAAGAGCCCTGTTTTGGAAGATGATGCCATCTAGGATTTTCATAGCTAGAGAATTCAAGGCCTGGTTTCAAAGAACAGACTGACTCTTTTAAGTTAGGAGATAGTGTTGCTGATGACAAGTTGAAGCCAGTGCTCACTGAAAATCCTAGGCCCTTAATCCTCCTCTGCCTGTGCCCCATAAATGGGACAACACGGGGATGACAGTACATCTGTTTACAACATGGTTTACTCAACACTTTAAGATCTACTGCTCAGGAGGAAAAAAATTTCTGACAATGCACCTGGTCATGCAAGACCTCTGAGAGGTTCAAGACTAATGCTGTTTTGATGCCTACTAACACCACATCTGCTCTACAGCCCATGGGTCAGAGTAACTTTTACTTTCAAGTCTTAGGAAGTCCCTTTTATAAAGTTATAGTTGCCACACAAAGTGATTCCTCTGATGGAAAATCTTCTGGGAAGGATTCACTATTCTAGATGACCCTAAAATACCAACACCCAGGAAGTTTGGAAGGAGTTGGTTGCAACCCTTGTGGTTGACTTTCAGGGTCTCAAGACTTCAGTGAGGAAGTAACTTGATGTGGCAAAAACAGCAAAAGAACTAGAATCAGAAGTGGAGCCTGAATATGTGACATAATTCTACAATTTCATGATAAAATTTTAATGGACGAGGGGTTGCTTCTTAAGAGCAAAGACAGTGTTTCTTGAGATGGAATCTACTCCTGGTGAAGATACCGGGAAACACTGCTGAGATAACCAAAGACTAAGAATATCAACTTAGTGGATAAAGCAGTGGCAGTGTTTCAGAGGATCAACTCCAGTTATGAAAGGAGTTCTACTGTGTTAGAATCTGAATCTGAAATGTCCCCCAAAAGCTGATGTGTTGATGGCTTGGTCCCACTGCAGCAGTGTTCAGAGGTGGGGTCTCTGGAGGTGACTGTATCACGAAGGCTTTAACCTCATGAATGAATTGTTTCCACTATAGCTTGATGGCCTGCTGGGTGGTGGTACAACCATAAGAGGTGGGCCTAGTTGGAGGTAGTAGATCATTTGGGGCATGGCTTTGAATGGAATATCCTGGTTTTGGCCCCCTTTTGCTCTCTTTGCTTCCTGGCTGCCATAAGATAAGCAGCTGCACTCCAGCACATGCTCCCTGCCACAATGTTCTGCCTCACCACAGTCCCCACAGAAAAATGGCCTGAAACCTATGAAACTATGATCCAAAATAACCTTTCCTTCTTTGATCTTCTCAGGTACTTTGTCACAGTGACAGAAAGTGAACACGGTGGGTAAAGGGGTAACAGCATCCCATGAGAGTTCTTTCATGAAAGGACCAACTGATGTGCCAAATTTTTAAGAAATTGCTATATCCAACTTAACCTTCAGCAGTCATCGCACTCATCAGCAGCCGTCAACATCAAGGCAAGACCCTCCACTAGCAAAAGACAGACTCCCTGAAGGCTCAGATGATACTGGCATTTTAAAAAAATATTTATTTTTTTAGTTCTCGGCGGACACAACATCTTTGTATGTGGTGCTGAGGATCGAACCCGGGCTGCACGCAAGACAAGTGAGCGCGCTACCGCTTGAGCCCCATCCCCAGCCCGATACTGGCATTTTTAAGTAATCAAGTATTTTTAAATTCAGCCATGTAGTTTTTTTTTTTTAAACACCCAATGCTATCACACATTTAGTCTAGCATAAGCGTAAGTTTATATGGACTGGGAAACCAAAGTCCATGTAATTTGCAATATGGCCACATATTTACTTTATGCAGTGATCTAGAACCAAACATACAACATCTCTAAAGTTTGCCTGCAGACTTCTAACTTCCTTAAACTTCTGAAGATATTACTGCTTTGTCTTCTTACAACCAGTTTGGCTGACAAGAATCCTGAGGTCAATCTGATTATCAACTGCCTTTTGTAGGCAATTTATTCCCGTCTCTAATAATTATTTTCAAGGATCTTCTCCTGAAGATCTTCTTTATCCTGAAAAAGATAAAGCTACAGACAGCAGGTCCTTGTTACGGTTTTTCTCTTACTTATGCCACTTGGCTCTCAGCAGGCCCTTTCTACTAGGAATTTCTCAATCTACTTTGTTCCTCAGTGTGGGCTGTACTGTCATATGTATTATTTTCAGTTATTTTGGGAGAGGAAAAGTAGACAGTGCTTGTGACTTTTTTCATTTTTGGGGGGTGGGTGGGAAGGTTATTGGGAATTGAACCCAAGGGTGTTCTACCACTGAACTCAACTCTCCAGACCTTTAAAATTTTTTCATTTTGATACAAGTCTCAAAAGGCTGCTCAGGCTGGACTGGAACTTGTGCTCCTCCTTCTGCAGCCTACTGAGTGGCTGGGATTACAGGAATGCAGCAGCATCCAGCTTTAGTACTCTACCTTGAAACCTGTTTCCTGGCTTTGTTTTATCAGCACAAAAGCAAACAGTTTGGCTTGATGTACTTTTTCTCTTTCACCTCTCCTGCACAAGCATCCAGGTTTCTTTCAATCAGGGAAAAATTCTTAAAATTCTTCAAATGTACTACTTCATTTCAAATACATATTTTAACAAGTGCTATTCTTTAAATTCCCCTCTCCTCACTTCGTCTATTCTGAAACTTTCTCACTCTTTTAATTTTAATCTCTCTACAAAATTGCTCCAGATCAACCTGGGATTCTGTCCATCACAAATGGGGAATCTTTCTCTGTCCCACTACTCTGACTTCCACATAGCACCTTTCCTGAGCATTCACATACTTTACAACTCACTAAGAATACGATGACGTGGTTTCAATACAATGACAAGGTTTTAGAACCATCATCGTTATTTAATTCCAGAACATTACCAACATACTCCAAAGAAACCCTGTATCCAGTCACTCCTCATCACCCCCTGGCAACCACAAATCTAGTCTTCATGGATTTGTCCTTTCTGGAAAATTCATATGCACACAGAATCATACAGTATGTGGTCATGTGTGTCTGGCTTCTTTCACTTATCATAATGTCTCCAAGGTTCATCCACGTTGTACATGTAGCACTCCATTTTCACAGCTGAATGATGATTCCCTTGTATAAATATACCACATTTTCTTTACCAATCTATTAGTTAATGGGCACTGGGGTCATATCCATTTGGGGGCTATCATGTCCAAGGTTCTGCAGGAAAACATTTTCAGTTTTCCTGGGTATAAACCTAGGAATGGACTTGCTGAATGATATGGTTACTGCAAGTTTAAATTTTTTTGAGGAACTACCAAATTGGTTTCCATAGCAACAGTATCATTTTTACATTCCTATCAGCAATATTTGAGGATTCAAATTTCTCCACATTCTTATTTTCCATTTTTTGATGATACCATCCCAGTAGTATCCTTGTAATTTGTGTTAAGCATATTTTAAATTTTTTTTCATGGTACATAATAATGCATCATTGTGGGATTTGTACACGTGCATAACATAATTTGGTCAAGTTCACTCCTTAGTTCCTCCTCTCCTTCCTCTTCAGATCCCCTTCCTCTACCCAACTCGTCTCCCTTCTACTTTCATAAGATCCCTTTTTATCCTTTTTTTCTCTCTAAAAATGAAAGAAAACATGGCTAGGGGGCTAAATTATAATGTTAGACCTTCCTTCCTCTTCCTCAGGAAACCCAATTATTATTATGCTGATTTTTAATAGATAAAATGATTCCAAAGCTTGAATATGAAGTTTTTAGAGAAAAAAAAAACCCCTGTTATTAGAAACACAGTCTACTGTTTCTTATTCAAACCTCTGGTATTAGACATGGAGTCGGGGAAAGGAAGTTAGAGGGCAGGATGGTATGTCAGGAGCATGGTATCTGGAATCAGAATGACCCGGTTAGGAACAACATTTCATTTCCTTAACAGCTGTGCAACTTGAGGGCTGCTGATAGTGCTATTGTTTTGTATCTCCTTCAGAGTGGTTGATAAGGATTTCACAAGATGATAAACATAAAACATCCACTAAGTCAGTACTCAATAGTTAGTAAAGGAGAATTATATGTATAAAGAAAAACCTTTTCCCTTCAGAGTCTCATGACACACCTTAAGTGACTCTGTGTAATCAGAGGGACCAAGGTCTCAGGTTGGACAGTCCTAAGTAAGAATGCTGTTTCTGCCTATGTTAAGTATAGTCTTGGCTCTGGTTCCAAAGGAAACAAAATTCTGTGTTCCTCCTCTGGGACTACTTAATACTCCACACTAGGTTAAGAACGTCAGCCAGCAGGGTTCAGTCACTGGGTAGACACCTGATACAGTATGATATTTCCTTGAGTTCTGTGGCCCCAAATCCTAGAATTCAGTCATTATCCAGCCAGGTGATTAATTTACATAATTTTTCTCCTTTTGAATTCTCATCTTCAAATGACTCCTTTTGCCAGAGTAAGCTTATTTCAAAAACTTTTTAAAGTAGCACAACTTTATTTTTTGTTAAAATCTAAATTTCTTAGGTATCTGCAATGCAAATGGCCTCAAGATCTCCAGTATAAGGTTCTTATATTTCATAATAGGAAGAAACAGATTAATACTCAAAATACCTTTATTGCAGGGGAGAGAATTACTAATTTATAACAGTCCCTAAAGCACAGTTCTTATAGAATACTGAACTTCAACGGCATGCCCACCATACCATCAGAAAACAGAATAAGCTTCAAAAGGAAAAAAGCAGGAATGCCAAGATCTTTTCCAACCACAATTATTTTTAATCTATGAAACAGAGTTTCCTTACAAATTACATAGTCTTTAGAGTAGTGACATTTATCATTGATGTGATCTATGTGTTTAATACGACTGTAGTCAGAAGGGAAGTTGGGCCTGTTATTTTTCCAGAAACTGAAAAAAGTACCATCATTAAGACAAAGAAGAGAAAGATTTATACCCGTCTTTTTGGGACATGTAAGGTGAGAGTGAGGTCTCACAGTTGGAGAATTTGTGGATATTGCTGGAGGAATTGGAAATGCTTTCTAGTAAGCGGGTAATCCCTCTTCCTCGAACACTGCTGTTTTGGCCTGAAATTTTCACCCCAGATGGGTAATCACCTAGGATATTGAAAATATAATAAAAGGAAATGTAGTGATTTTTCTCTAAAGACTACTTTAATTGCTGACTCTCATCCTACTGTAGGCCCCTAAGCCTTATTTAAATAGATAATGAAAAGAAGAAATTCTATGTAAAGGAAAAGGCAGAAAAATGTTCCCTTTTGTTTTTAGAGCACAAAATCCTAATTGAAGTTCTTCAAGCACCACTTGAAATTTCATGTTTACTAGCTTTTAAAGTTTCTCATCTCCCAAAAGATATATCACCACATCAAAATTATACAACCATAGTGGCTACAATCTTTTTTTCTAATACCCTGAACAAAAGTCTGAGGAATAAGTTATACTCCATGAAAGTGATAAAAAAATGTACATATCAAATTGTATAAGGCACTAATGCCAAGCAAAACACCTAATTCAACAAGCTTCCTATATACTAAAGCTTATCTAGGAACATCTGATGCTTAGTAAGCTGGGACCTTAGTAAGCTTTAAGGCCCTAAAACCTCTGTAATGTACATTCTTATAAAATTTAAGATGCTTACCAGTGGCTGTGTTTGACCTTTGTTCCTGATTAGAAGAGCTGAAATGAGAGAATCCTGGACTCTCAACCCTTAGCTTCTGTAAAGTAACAGGAAAATACCAGGGGTGGGGGGAAATGTTTATTTCTTATCAAATATTGGATGGTCTACTTCAAATGACTCTTTACAAATGCAAACTAAGACTCAAATAGTTTTCCTGTGTCTATCAGCTTTTGCTGCAAAGGGAAGGAGAGATATAGGGTACTCTGGAGGGACATTAGGAATTACAGGGTCCTTTTTTTTTTTTTTTTTTGGTACTGGTGATTGAACTTAGGGGTACTTAACCACTGAGCCACATCCCCAGCCCTTTTTTTTTTTTTTTTTTTTTGGTATTTTAATTTAGAGACAGGGTCTCCTCGAGTTTCTAAGTGCTCCACTAAGTTGCTAAGGCTGGCTTTGTAGTCAAGATCCTCCTGTCTCAGCCTCCAGAGTCACTGGATTGCAGGCATGCGCCACTGTGCCCAGTAGTTCTTTTTTTTTTTTTAAAGATGAGGTTGTTGGCCAATAAGATTCCGAACAGAGGGAAACCCTCACGATACAAGAAATAAGAATAAGTTACTGTGTTATGTCCTTGATTAGTAAGAGAATGAGATCTAATATATAAACAGATTGGTTTTAGATAGAAAACAGACAATCCACTCATTAATACAGGAATGAAAGCAGAGGACGTGGTGGGTGCAGCTAGCAGGGGTGGTAGGAATAGGTGGAAAATTTCTCCTGATTGCTTCTATTTTCTTAGAGTTGAAGAGGAGTCATCAGGGTCAGCTAGAGAAGAGGTGATGGAAGATACAAGAATGTCAAGGAGAGTGAGAGAGCAACCAAACTAGAGGCATGGATAATAGCCAGGCAATATCAATGGCCCTCTTGAGGTTGGTGGTAATGAAAATGAAGAAAGACCAGTCAGCATACTGGTTTATTTCCAGTCTCACGTAGCTCCACAGGGCAGGAAGAGTTAATCAGGGTTGTTTCTGTCAACCAAGTATGATTAAGAAAAGAGGCCTAATGGAGCTGACAATGAATGCAAGGAATAAGTGACAGACCAGGGAACCTAAGGTGGGACAGAAGGAGGTAATGAGGCTGCATCTTCATATGTGTGAAAGGTGCCCTGGGGTTGTGCAATGCATGGTCCAAAGGCATGTACAACAGTGCAGGCATAAGTAATTGTATAAGTAACTACATATGTCAAATAATCATTGGCACTAGAGTACCAGAGGAAGACAGTCACAGAGGATCATGTCTGAAATTGAGATTATGAAGAAAATACCTTTGGGGTCTAGGGTCTGATCCCAGGAATGGAAACTTCCATGGTGGAAGACACTGGAGGAAGGGAAGTTCAGAAATTCAGAGGTCAGGTAGCTGAAAAGATTACCTATGGGGAAACTCAAAGAAGTCTGACAGGAAAACTGTTTTCCCAAGCCAGTGTTGCTCTAAGAATGAGGACCAACTTAAGTGTATACTGAATCCAAAAAGGGTTGTCAGGTACTCTTGCCTAGACAGCATGAGAGTCAAAGCCTATAGGTTTTAGGGAGAAGGAATGAAGAAGTCTGGAAGCTGAAATCAAGGTCAACTACTTCAAATGCAAGCCCATGATGAAGGAAGGGGAGGATGATGTCATCATTTGAGAAGACTAACAGAAGCAGCGTCCCGAGAGGAAAGTCAGTTTATTTAGAAACAAAAGGGTAAACAGACTTTCCTCAAAGAAGTCAAAAGATCTAGGTTTTTCTGGTAGCCTAGGGTCCTTACCTGGTAACGCCCTGCATCCAACACAACCATTTTGGGTGTCACACTATTGCTGGTCTCATAATCTTGTAGTGGTATATGAGCTCCTGTAAGCTGGATTCCAAAGAGAGTGGCCAGGGAATTGCTGATGCAGTACCTTTAAAATGAAGTAAGACAAAAAACCCACTATATTACTCTCATCCAATTCACTATGAAAGCATTCATATTTTAAAATTCTCAAAAAGCAAGCATCTGAGAGACACTGCTTCTTATTGCGGGGGGAAAAGAAAATTTAGAGATTTAGAAATAAGTTGGAAATAGGCAGTAAAATTCATATCATAAAAGATTATTACTGGGTAAGCAATCTTCTGATTGCCAGGTTCTATTTTAGGTGTGTTATGAAGGAATGGGAATGAGGTTAAAGATGACCAGGATTCTCTAATGTTTAGGGCAATGAGAGGGCAGAAGCAGATATAAAACTAAAACCAGGAACAGTTAATCCTCAGAACTCACGACTGCCTGCTAAGTGAAGAGACTAGCAGAACCCCGAGAGATCCGGGACTCACTATAAGGTGCTTTCACTACGAGAAGAGAGGAAAGGTCTATCTTTTGGAGCACCTCCACAAGGAAGTGCTGTCCTTCAGCACTCAGGACTCCGAGGAGGAAAGGTTTCAGTGCAGGCTTCTGAAGATTTACTAAAATGTGTCGGTGAGTAGTGACATGGGCGGTAGGACAGAAGTAACATGAACAACCACCTTTTCTTTTTAACAAAAATATAGTAAGGTGGGTGAACAGACCCACCCACCTGCCCAAGAGTAAGCAAAATGGACACCAAGGAACTCAGCACAAAAAGCAGCATTATGAAGAAACTCCTTCCCCAACTTACGCCATCCTCTTGCAAACAGCTAAAGCACAGAAGAGAATGTCATTTTCTTCATGCCACTTGCACCTGTACAAAAAAATGGACCTTAATATCCTCACTGAAGCAGCACTGCTGAAGGGTCTTCACATGCCAGACTTCTAGCTTGCCTAGCTGAAATAATTTAAGAAAAACTCACACTATTACTCAAAGATTAAGGTTTCTAAATTTAATACACAATAGATTTTTTTTAAAAAACCCAGATTTTATCTCATTTGATGCAGAGTCATGATACTATACAAATTACACATAACCCTAAACAGAAATAAAAAGGGTGTTCCAGAGGCACAGCAGTGACTAAAGATAACACGTATTCATTTAACATTTATTGAGCGCACACTATTTGCCAGTCATTGTTCTAGGCACTAGGGATACAGTGTTGAAAGAAGTAGATAACACAAAATTTACTTTTTAGTGGGGAGACTAACCAAAATATGCAAGCATAATACATAGTAAATTAGATATTAAGTTATAATGATACAGCCTAAGGAGGAAAAAGTAAGAAGGGATGATATGATATAAACATTAGGAAGGGGCTCACTGAGGTGGCGATGTTTGAGTGGAGACCTCAGGAGGTAATGCTGGAGAGGAAGTGAATAAATAAGTTGTGTGATTCAACACAATGTTACTTGATGAGTACCACTACAAAACCTGCGGGTCTTTTCATTGAGTACACAGTCTTTTGAGATTCAGAACAGCATTATTTGCATAATGCAAAACTGGAGTAAACTTAGCAAGAATATTCATCTCAAATTGCAAACATGCTCTGCAGTAAATATAAAGTGTCAGTGATATGCATTCACACTGATGAGTTATTTAACAGAATGAAAGTCTTATCTAAAATAAGGTTAAAACTCCCCCACTATTTCCAAAGAAACGTGATCCAGGATATGTTCTTCATAAACCTCCAAATCCTAAACTTAAGTAAAAAACTAAACCTAAGTTTGTATGCAACCATACAGAATTAAGTAACTTTTAATTTCTAACTGGTTTTGATCCTTGTCTAGAACTTGAGGCCCAAGAGTATCTACCTCATAAACACATTTTTAGGCAATGAGAGGGCAGAACTGAAATGAAGGATCAGAACTGAAATGAAATTGAAAAACTAACAACATATTCAAGGATTAAAACCAACCAACCAAACTTACAAAATACTGACCCCAGGGGAAAACATCTTCAATCTGCTATTGTACTGCTACTAAAAATAGCATTGTTGGGGCTGGAGTTATGGCTCAGTGGTAGACCGCTCACCTAGCATGGGCGAGGCCCTGGGTTCAATCCTCAGCACCACATAAAAAATAAATTAATTAATTAAAAAGATATCCAACTACAACTGAAAAAATAAGTATTTAAAAACAGCATTGTTGTGATCTGTGATTTCCTACTTCCAAATCATACCCATTCCCTAAAAATGAGTGTTCTTCTAATAAAGTTCACTCTATAAATCTGTTGAAAATCAGATTGGCTATGTACTTTGTTAAGCTATTAATACTTGCTGGGCAGCCTCCAATCTAGCTCCTATTGTACCCTGTCTCAGATGTTTCCTTTATGAATGTCCACTCCAAAATTCTAACATCAGGCCACAGTGTCTCACATCTTCTGAGTAGGCTCACAGCTTCCTCCTAAATCCCCCATACTGTTTCCCTCCACCAGAGCCGTTGACAGTCCTGGTGTTCTCTTGCCCTCCTGTTTCAGGGTTATGATTCCTTACACTTTTCAAGGCCAATCCTGCCTTCAGAACCATTCAGCTATAGCTATGTAACACTCTAGTCAAAAGGACACACTGGTTTTTCTTCAACCATCTCTGTGCTTCTTCACTCTGAAGTCACTGTTCAGGTAATTTCTGAACCTTATGGAAAAATCTTCCTTTTAACTGAAATCTCTGCTCATAAAAATTTTACCCATCTTTCCAGAGGAACCAAATCAAACATTAATTCCATATAGCATTTCAGAGTTTTTAAACTCATATAAAGTGATTTCTCTCTCATTTCTATCATCACCAGAAAATGGGGCATCAGCATGGTGTCTTCACAGCCTACTGCTCCTATGAGGCAAAAGGCAGAGGGCAGGGATGGTCATGTCACTTCTTCACACTTCCCTCAGAATTTAGTTTAATGCATTATGTACACAAGAACTACTCAAATTTTTGTTAAATATAAAAACTGGACTAAAGTCATTAAACTGGACTAAAGAAAACAATGTCAAAACATAAACTACTTCTCTGAATACTACTATTGCTGGGGCTTCTAGTTTAAGGTTGTGAATTAAATACATGTACAAAATTATTTCCTATTGTTTCTGAGACCCTCTGAAAATGACAATGAATATAAATGGCAAGCTGGGTGCAGTGGCATATGCCTGTACTTCCAGCTACTTGGGAGGTTGAGGCAGGAGGATCACAAGTTCAAGGGCAGCTTAGACAACTCATGGAGACCATGTCTAAAAATAAAAATAACTGGGAATGTTTATAAGTGGTAGAGCATCCCCGGGTTTAATCCCCAATACCTACCAATCTAAATAAGGTAAAAAATAAATAAGACAAATAGATACATAAACAATATATAAATATAAAAAAGGGCGGGGAATGTAGCTCAGTGGTAGAGCACTCCTGGGTTCAATTACCAGTCCAAAAAAAGATAACATGTATTCATTTAACAAAAAAGGGGAAAAAATCTCCATGGAAGAGATGAAGAGATTTAACAAATTCATGAAAAATGAAGAACAGTAACTGATATCCTTCAGTGCTAACAGAGAAAGCAACAGGAGAAGATCTATCTATTAGAGGCACTGGACTCTCAAGAGGACATGTCCCTCTCCACAGAACAGAGGTAAGAACTGAGGCTGAACTTCTGTACGAAGAATAGAGGACCTCTCCAACTCCAGGCAAAGGGGTGAACAAACTAAACTTGGAGAACCAGGCAGCAAAAGTGGTTGCTGAAACCCTAAAGCAAAGTCTCTATATTCTGGCAACTAGGATTCTACCTCTAATTTATTATCAAGCTTGCTTGTCTAATTTCCTTACAACCAAGCCTAGTCAGTTGATATCCCTACTGAACACAATGGATATTTACTTGGCTTTGAAGCCTCATTTCTAATAATGAACATAACCAGGAACAATCACACTTGAAGGAAAGCCTGCAACATGAAAACATCCAGAACAGACCGCAACTTACAACTCCCCCAAATGAACTAATCCAGGGAACGAAAACAAATAGAGGGCTCAAAGAGTAACTCAAGGAAATCTGCAGTTATTGCATTCAGGATCCCCTCAATTAACACTGATGATGGCTATGAGAACTTTCCTAACATCACACAACTGTACAGAGAGATACTACAGTCTCAAAAACTCAACCTCTGCCCCCTTTAACATGTCAGAACTGGTTAGAGCTGTGCTGAATCATCTTCTCTTTCTGCCTTCTGTCTAGGTGATCTCATCTGCATGCTGCAGGGTCCATCTGATCCTCACCAGTGTCTCCGAATGTATTAAATGTGCTCCTCTCTATGTCATCTGCCATTTTTTCTTTCAGTTCTCTCTCCCTGTGCCCAGGCCACCAGGAAGGCCTACTTTTAAACAATGTGAAATCAGCCTATTCCCCTCCATCTCTGATGTCACCTATCTAAGCCAAGTCACTGCTTGCCTGGTTATCTAACCATCACAGGCTCCATATTTCATTGTGTCCTTCCAATACAATCATGAAACACCCTGACATCTTGTAGAAACCTAACCTACCACCCTTCACTATTTGACAAAATTCCTTCCTATGGCTAACAAGGCCTTGAGCCCCTCCTCATTTCATCTTTCTCCTGCTTCAGTTCTCAGCTTTTTTGGACCATTTTATAAAGCAGTCCAAACATCTGTTAAGAGTATCCTGTTGATTTTTTTTTAGCACTTACCATAAGCTAGAATTACCATTTCAAAACCACTAACCCATGTCCTTTTCCCATTTAACTGGTAGCTTCACAAAGGCAGGGATCACATTAATTTCCTTTTTTGGGTGCCAGGGATTGAACTTGGGGGCACTCAACCACCGAGTCACATCTCTAGCCTTATTTTGTATTTTATTTAGAGACAGGGTCTCACTGAGTTGTTTAGTGCCTTGCTTTTGCTGAGGCTAGCTTTGAACTCATGATCCTCCTGTCTCAGACTCTCGAGCTGCAGGATTGCAAGTGTGCACCAATGCACCAGGCTCATATTACTTTTTGCACCGTAAGCACAGTGAGTAGCATAACTGCCTGGCACCAAGGATATGCTCAATAAATATTAGTTGGTTAAGTAAAGGATACACCTGTTTTCATCAGTAGGTTAGACAGTGAATTAATCCAACAGGAATTCTTACAGGAAGCATAAAGATAATAATAAATACTTGCTTTGTCTAGCTGCATTCATTTCACCAATATAAACTTGCCCCTTAGTCCTAGAGTTAAGAGACATTTTTCAAAATTTTATTACCAACTACAGTCTTCTTAACATATGTCTCAGAGCAGTGTTTGAAATGAGTCCTCTTCATTTATATTAGCAGGTTTGAATCAGTTACTAGAGTTCACTGCAACCCAAACTCCCTTGTAAAATATCATACATTAGAATCTTACTATGTTATAGAGCTCAGTGACAGGCCCCTCCTATGCAAAGCATTTCCTTACTAATGTGCCTAAAGTATCATAGGAAACAGTTTCCTCTTACTATTCCCGTGAGCCTTTCATCAATCCACTAATACCAAAGTTCAGCGAACTTTTTATGTACAGGCACCAAAAAACATAGCAACTAGCCAAAACTACAAAAGATATAATGAGACACAGAAACACAGTAATTACATGAGACTGAAAAAATGCCACTCTCAGTACAAGATAGAGCAATAGGATAAGTCAAAGTAAAACAATAAGAAAATCCAAACAACATAACTGCTATAGTTTGGATCTGGAACATGCCCACAAAGGTCTCTGTACTAATGAAGTCCTGATGTCCAGTGTGGTGCTCAAGAGGTAGAGTCAAGAGGGAGGTCACCAAGTTCCTGGGGGTGTGGCCTCCAAGGACTGTGAGCCAAGTTTCTTCCCCTCTCACTTCCCCACTACTCCCACCACCATTCACTCTCAACACAGGTTCAAAAGCCCTCATGGATTGGAGCCCCCCAAACTGTGAGCCAAAATAAAGCTTTACTCTTTATAAGTTGATCATTTCAGGTATTTCACGGTAACAGAAAGCTGACTAACACAATAATCAATGCAGACCTTATGAACATACAGCAATGCTGTGACCTGAAAAATAACACATATTCTCACATGCCCATACAACAAGCCACAAAAATTGATTATATACTAAGCAAAAACAAACTCCCCAAACCTAAGGCCAAGTGACTCCATAAAATTACTAATGTTACAGAAAACACTCTTTGATCATAATGCAAAAGCAACATAATTTACTAACAGAAACAAAACTCAGAAAGGCTTATCTGGACATTTAAAAGCTTTGTCATGAAAATTAAAGAACTTGTTAAAAATGACCCATGAAAATACTGCATTTCAGAATCAATGGGATCCACTGAAAACAATGATGAAATACAATAAAAACCAAACAAGAGGAGTGAATTAAATTTTGACCCCCAAAGTAGAAAAAGAACTACAGAGTACAGAGAACAAAAGCTGAAAATGAGAAAAAAAAAAAAAAAAAAAACAGATCTAGACCACACACACTGGCTTAAGTAAAAACAAGATGGCACAGATATACAAGAAATAAGATAACCAATGAAACAAGAGAAATTTAAAATTTTTTAAAGAATACCTTCTTTGCAAACCTGTAAACAAATACACCTAGAATTCTACATAAAATGCACAATTTCCTACAAAATTACAATTTATCAAAATTTATTCCATTAGAATTAGAAAGCCTAAACAAACTCATTTTCATAGCAAAAACAGTTATCAAGAAACTGCTCCCCCCCAAAAAAAAAATTTGTCAATTCCAGATATACACAATCTGTGTGGGAAAAATTTCAAATGTATCTGAAAGACACAAAAGTAGATTTGACCAATGGCAAGACATCCCTGTCCTTGGATACAACTCAGCACTATAAAGAGTCCAGTTTTAAGTTATGGAGATGGCCTGAAGTGACACATCTGCATATATCTTGTTTGAAAAATGGTCATACTTCACAATTTCAAACAATAACTAAATCAACAAAAACACAGAATATAAACAAGCAAATGAACTTATTTCAAACACATAATTTAACTACACTGAAGTGGAAAACAAAATAACTCAAATAACTTCTGAACATTACTTTGACTCCATGCCATCTGACAATTATAAACAAATCATAATTGCCATTTCTTTTGTTTTATAACAGTGCCCCATTTAACTCTGAACCTACTTTCAATGCATTCTAGGATCGAACAAGGAAGTAAAAATATGAGATCCAGGTTTCTCACTTTCAAGAGAAAGGAAGTACAAAAATAAGAAAATGCGACACAACTCTATCGTACTGCATTGGAACTTAGGTTCAGTACAAACTCATAGCAAGATACAGAGAAAAAAGAGAAGAGATGCATGTACATGGAGGGTGTGTGTGAACACACACACACACACACACACTTCCTGACTGTCTGCACTAAGACCTAGAATCAATGACATTCTAGTAAGGAATCAACAGCACACCTAGCACCCAGATCCTAACCCTCAATGCCATCATTAGTGAATAAGGAACCACAGATGGTTGGAATCATAGCTAATTCAGGGTGGAGCAGATTACAAAGTGAGTCTGGAAAATAAGGTGCCAGAAATCAAAAACACCTGAAGAATGAAGAGTCAATGTCAGGACACAGAAACCACTGTTTGAAGCTGGGCGCAATGGCACATGCCTGTGATCCCGGTGGCTTGGGAAGCTGAGGCAGGAGGATTCCAAGTTCAAAGCAAGCCTCAGCAATTTAGTGAGACTCTATCTCCAAAAGGAAAAAGGTGAGGAGGGGTTGGGGATGTGGCTCACTCTAAGTGCCATAAACAAAAACAAAAAACAAAACCACTGCTTTAAAGGACTTCCCACTGGCCATATATGGAACAATCTGAGCATAAAAATAAATTACTGTAATAACAGATTAGATTCCACCGAATAAAACAGGAATCCATGAGTCCATGCTAATGTCAATATATTAAAAAAAAAAAGAGTGAAAAAGAAAAGCTCTTTCTTACAGAATTTCAACTAAAAAATGCAAAAGAAATAATCAAACTAGAAAAACCACTATTTCACATAGTAGTAAATGATTTAGACTAAATCATCAATGGATATGAAAATTCGAGCAGCAAAATAGTGATCTAATCTCACAGCATTTCCTGGCAAAATATTTATTAATAAGGTACAAAATAGTAACTTTTCAAGAAAGAACTCTGACTGACACTATTTTAAAGAAATAACAAAGTTATCATGATCATCAGGAATGAGACAAACTGGCATCATACTGCCACATAATGGCACACTGAGAAGACACAGCACCATTTTTGTAGTATTCCTGCCTGAAATGCATAACCTTAAACTAACAATGAAGAAAAACAGACCAACTCAAACTGGGAGACATTCTATAAAACAACTGGACTGTACTCTCAAAAAATGTCAAGATCATGAAAGTTAAAGAAAAAACTAAGGAACTGTTACAGATTAAAGAAGCTTTGAAAGAGACAACGTACTATTTGTGTTCTTGGATTGTACTCTGGCTTGATTTTTGGTTTTTTGCTCCAGACACTATGGAAACCTAACACTCTCTAAACCGTTGAGACCATGAATATGGTCTTCAGATTAGGCAGTGTCTTTGGCAATATCCTGATTTTGTAACTGTACTATGGTAATGTAAGAGAAATGTTCTTATTCTTAGGAAACACATGGAAGTATTTAGGTGAAAAGAATCATGATGACAGCAACTTACTCTCAAGTGGTTTATGAAAAGTGTGTAGAGACAAAACTGTAATGAGAATGTACTAAAATGTTAACTAGGAAATCAGAGAATGGTGTGTGTTACTATTCTTGCAACTTTCTCAGTGAATCTGAGATTATTTCAAAATAAAAAAATGCTTCAGACAATGTATTCATTTTACATGTTCCTTTATCAGTAAGCACAAAAATGTTTCATGCAGTAAAAAAGAAATCTAATAAATTTAAAAACATTCTTTTCATTGTACAGAAACTCTAAGTGATAAGAGAGAACAGTCAGTTTATTTGGCAGTTCCATTTGTTTTTAGTGGTACACAAAGTAACAATGTATCTTATAATCAATGGAGTTTTATGTTCAAAAAAATACAATACAAAGTCTCATAGAAAAAATTGCTCAAAAAGGCAAAAACAACTAGCCCTACCATATGTTCTCAGAAAAAAAATACCAATTCTAAGAAAATATAATTCAGTAAAAAAGCCAAAGTAACTTTCTTATCAAAATCACTATTAATACCTTGTGTTGCTAGAATAATCCCACATGGCCACATCTAGGAGGCTTCGAACCCAGGTCTTTGAGGGCTCCTTGAGAAATTTTTGCTGGTAGATCCCTACTACAAGATCCTCTACAGTGAGAAGTTCTAGATCTTGCCTGAATTCTTCCATATGTAAAGAAAAAAAACACAATTAGTGAAGGTGTGTATCAAAATGGAAACAGGTACTATAACACACTTCTGCAGTGACCCATAGTTTTACTTACCTAATGCTCGTGCCATTCGTTTCAAACACCAATTGACTCTGGCTCTATCATCAGACTGGACAAGGGGAAAAAAATTATTTATATTGTATGCCTACCTTAAGTTGCTTTTAATTAATTAATCCTCTCAAATGGGTGGGGGGAGATATAGGGAATAAAGACTGAAAAATTTGATAACTAAATGAGAACTATTAAAAAAAAGTGACATACATTAGAAAAAAACTATTGTTATTACTCACCAGTTACATTTACATAGCAATGCTAACAAAGTGAGACTTAGGATACGCAAACACATAAAACTATTAAGAAGGAAAATATTATATAATCTGCTCATGATTAATAAGTACAAAAGTTAAAACCCAATTTCTCTGACTCCTAGCCTAGAAGAATTCAGATAAAATAAATAATATAGTTTTCTCTCAGTATTACAAAAAAGGGGGGGATGCTACATTAGACTTTCTGTGAAAGATAATCTTGTGTGGAATAATAGATGTTCAGAATACAGCATCCATTCTTCAGGTTAAAAAGACACAGCAGATATTTCAAAAGGAAGAGCTCAGAAAATATGTTATCTATCCAAATGAAAATATATTCAGCTTTATAGTCTTCAAAATCTCTCCCAAATCAGTGAAATTTAAAAGAAAAGGAATTATATATTAATCACTCTGAAACTACTCAGAATTAATTTCACACACACAGTTAATACACAGACAAGAATTCTTTTTCTAGGTGCTTTCTGTGGATGTTCCGGTATCTAAATGGATACCTTAAGAACTATTAACTGGAAATTACCTTGCAGTAGATAGGTGGCCAGTTCCCTGGGTTTGGATGAATAAATCTATACAGGTTTTGTAATACAGTTGCTTGGTCATGCCCCAATTCAAAGTTTGAAATAGGAATCTTGTGACTAGAATCACCTGAAGGAAATAAAAAGGAGGTAGAAGTTCAAACTTTGAACAATATAAATATTATGGTGTAGTCTAGAAGTAGAAGTAAGAGAAAAGAATAGTGGGTAGTTCATATTTAAGCACTTGTACCATGTGCTGGTATGCTTAGGTACTTAACATTTTAATTCACAGTCTTAGTCACTTTAGGAGATTGATGATATATACAAAAGTAAAGGCCACTGAGAATCCCAGAAATGGGTAGAGAAAGATAACAGTTGGTAAATGTGGGGTCAGGACCCAAAACACAGGCTTAAGTGAGCAAGCCTGCAGTGTTTTCACTATTCCCATGCTGCCTCTTGGGAATATTTTATTAGTAGGGCTGGGGAACACTGTAGTAATGACTACTTTTTAAGAGGTTGTATGATGAAGACTTTCATTTCCAGAATAGACCAAATAATTTGAACCAACTATCCAGGAAAAAAAATAAAATCCCTTGGGAATATTAAGAGCATATGACAAGAGTAAAGAATTACTAAGTCAAGGTACACAAGAATACAGAAATCCAGAGAAGCAAGGCTAATTTTGGAAAAGTTTTCCCTTGGGTTATTTTACCAGTTCCAAAAGAGAAAGCAAATGGCTGAGCAATGTGCTTTTGCAGTTTTGGGGTTTCAACTTCTAGAAGCACAGTTTCTAGAAGCCCAGCTAAGATAACAATATTACAGGTCCCAAATTACTCTGGAGGAAGATTACAATATTACAGGTCCCAAATTACTTACTTTTTCAAATACTTTATAATCAAGTACAAAAAGACAAGAATGAGAATCAAAATAAAGTTGATAAAGATCCACAGGTACTCCAGATAAATAATTATGCTTATGTTTGACAAGTTCAAATTATGAATTTCAATGTAAAATTAAGAACTATAAGAAGAGAATGCAGGGGGCTGGGATTATGGCTCAGTGGAAGAGTGCTTGCCTTGCACACATGAGGCACTGAGTTTGATCCTCAGCACAACATAAAGTAAATAAATAAGCAAAATAAAGGTATTGTGTCCATGTTCAACTAAAACAATTAAAAAAAAGAGAATTCAAGATGAATTCAGCCTAAGAAGATAAACAAGACTGATCATCCCCTAGCAAAACCAACCAAAAGAAAGAAGATCCAAATTAATAAAATTAGAGATAAAAAAGGAGAAATCACAAAGACATCACAGAAATCTTGAGGAACATTAGAAACTATTCTCCAATAAACTGGGTAGCCTAGAAGAATTGGATATATATAGATATATACAACCTGCCAAAACTGAATCAAGAAGACAGAAAACTCAAAAGACCAATAACTAGCAATGAGAGAGAAGTAGTAGTAAAAGACTTCCAAAAAGAAAGGTCCAAGACCAGATGGATTCTTAGCTGAATTCTACAAAATTTTTAAAGAAAAACGAATGCCAATGAACCTCAAATAATTCCATGAGGCAGAAAGGGATAGAACACTTAAATTCATTCCATCAAGCTAGTTTCACACTCATACTAAAACCAGATAAGGACACATCAAGTAAAGAAAACTACATATAAATATCACTGATAACTTAGATGCAAAAATCCTTAATAAAATATTAGCAAATAATTTTTAACGACAAAGTAAGAAGAATGTACATCATAACCAAGCTGGTTTTATCCCAGAGATGCAACTATGACTTAACATAAACAAATCAATAAATTAAATTCATCACGTAAAAAGAAATACTTAGTCATCTTGATAGGTGCATAGAAAGCCTTCAGTACCCATTCGCAATTAAAACAAACAAACAAAAAAACACTGAAGAAACTAGGGATAAAAAGAACCTTCCTCAATACCATAAAAGCTATCTACAAAAAAAAAAAAAAAAAAAAAAAACATAAAAAAAAAAAGAAAAAAAAAAAACCTCCAAAAAAGAAAAAAAAAATAACAAAAAAAAAAAAAAAAAAAAAGCCAACATTATAGCAAATGGGGGAAAACTAAAAACATTTCTTGAAAATCAGGGACCAAAGATGTCCATTCTCACCACTCCTATTTAATACAGGAGTATAAATTCTAATCAGAACAATTAAATGACAGAAGGAAATAAAAGGGATACAAATAGGAAAGGAAGAAGCCAAATTATTACTGTTTGCAGATGCTCTAATCCTATATTTAGAGGATCCAAAAAGCTCAACCAAAAGACTGCTAGAGTTAATAAACAAATTCACCAAAGAGCAGATTACAAAATCAACACTCAAAAATGAGTAGCTTTCCTACATAACAATATTGAATCTGCTGAAAGAAATCAGAAATAAAATCCCATTCATAATAGCCTTAAAAAAAAAAACTAGGAATAAATCTATTCAAGAACATGAAAGACCTCTACAACAAAAACTATAGAACACTGAAGAAAGAAACTGAAGACAACCTAAGATAGAAGACTTCTCCTGTTCACAGATAGGCAGAATTAATACTGTCAAAAAGGCCATACTACCAAAAGCAATATACAGAGTCAGTGCAATCCCCTCAAGATACCAATGACATTCTTGACAGAACTCAACAGTCCTAAAATTCATTCTGAAGAATAAAAGACCCAGCTGGGCACAGTGGCAAACACCCTTACTCCCAATGGCTTGGGAGGCTGAGACAGGAGGGCATCGCAAGTTTAAGAACAGCGCAGCAACTTAGTGAGACGCTCTCAAAATAAAAAATACAAAGGGCTGGGGATGTAATGTAGCTCAGTGGTAAAGACTCTCTGGGTTCAATCGTCCATTCAAAAAAAAAAAGCATCAAAAGACCCAGAATAGCCAAAGCAATTCTAAGTCAAAAAAGCAATGCTGGAGGCATCCTAATTCTTGACTTCAAATTATACTACAGAGCTACAGTAACAAGAGAAGAGTTAACCAGGCTGGGTGCGGTGGCACATGCCTGTAATCCCAGCAGCTCAGGAGGCTGAGATAGGAGAATCACAAGTTCAAAGCCAGCCTCAGCAAAAATAAGGCACTAAGCAACTCAGTGAGAACCTGTCTCTAAACAAAACATAAAATAGGGCTAGGGATGCAGCTCAGTGGTCAAGTGCCCCTTAGTTCAATCCCCAGTACCCCCTCAAAAAAAAAAAAAAAGAATTAATGGGACAGCACAAAATTAAAAAGCTTCTGCACAGCAAAGGAAACAGTTAAGAATATGAAGAGAATCTACAGAATGGGAGAAAAATCTTTGCTAGCTATTCTTCTGGCAGTATTAATATCCAGAATAAAGAACTCAAAAAACTTAGAAATAACCCAATTAATAAATGGGCAAATAACTAAACAAACACTTCTCAAAATAAGAAATACAAATTGCCAACATGAAAAAAATGTTCATTGTCATTAGCAATTAGGGAAGTGCAAATCAAAACTACCCTGAGATTTCACCTTACTCCCGTCAGAGTACATAGCCATCAAGAATACAAATAATGCTAAGTGCTAGAGATGATGTGGAGTAAAAGGAACACTTTTACACAGTTGGTATAAATTAGTGCAACTACTATGCAAGTCAGTATGGAGGTTCCTCATCTAGCAATGGAACCACCGTTATGATCCAGCTGTACCAGTGGTTCCATTCCTAGATGAGGAATATTTATCCTAAAGAGTTATCCTAAAATATTTATCCTAAAGAGTTAAAGTCTTCATACTATAGAGGATACACGCATACCCATGTTTATGGCAGCACAATTCTTAACAGCCATACTATGGAACCAGCATAGGTGTCCATCAGTGGAGGAGTAAATAAAGAAAATGTGGTGTATATACACAACGAAGTTTTATTCAGTCATCAAGAAAAATCAATTTATGTCACTGACAGAAAATGGATGAAACTGAAATAAGTCAAACTCAGAAGGGTGGCATGTTTCTTTCATATGCAGAAGCAAGAGGGGAGAAAGAGATGGGAGGTTCTCATGAAAATCAAGGGGACATCAGTAAAGGGAGCAGCAAGAGGGAGGAGGGGCAAGAGAGGAGAACTACTGGGGAATGACATTGGACAAATTATATTGTTATACTGTGTGCATGTATGAATATTAACAAATCTCACCATTATGTACAACTATAATGCACCAATAAAAATGCAGCAAAAATTAGTAAGTCACCATATGAACAAAGGACACAAATCACTGGAGATGCAGAAAGAGCATTCATTAAAACACTGAGCTGACATATCCCTAGGCAAAATGGGAAGAGAAGGAAATTTCTCTTGATAAGAGTAAAACAAACAAAAAAAGGAGATGGGCTGAGAGAGAGAGAAAAAAAAAAAAAGGAAACTACAGCAAATGGCATCCTCAATCCTTACTGGTGAAACATCATCAATTAGAGGTCCTAGCCAACATACTAAAACAAAACAGATACACAGATTAGAAAAAAAGTGACTTCACAGATAAGGAATTCACAAAAACTCAAAAGTTTAGTGTTAGGCATCAAAAAAAATAAACAATTAGAAAATGTAATTTCAGATGATATCACTTACAATGTAGTAAAAAGGTAAGACAAAATATAAATTTAACAGAGGTATTAAGACTACTATAATTATAAAATTGAAAGACATTACAGGCCTCAAAATTAAGAATGTGCTGCATATTCATATAAATATTATAATGATAGCATTTTTTCTCCACAATGAGCTAAAGATTTAAAGGTGATTCCAATTTAAATCCAACAGGCTTTTTTGTGAAAATGAATACCTAATTATAAAACTGAACATGGAAGAATAAAGAGTCAAAAATAGCCATAATATTCCAGGACAACAAGGTGTTGGGGACTGATCTGAAGTATCGTCAAACTATTATGTTTAAGAGTATGACAGTGGCACCAAAAACAACAGAATAAAGAGAATAGAAGACATGTGTGTCAACAGAAGCCTGATAGGATACAGGTGGTACTGCTTATTGATGAACCAACTGATTACTCAATGAACCAACTGATTACTCAATGATCCTGAAACTACTGATGAACCACATGGAGGAAAATGAAACTGAATCTCTACCTCAAACCTACACAAGTCAATTACAGATGGGAAGGACTTGGATACAAAAAACAAAACTTTATAATTTTTGGATTAAGATGAAAACTGACTATATAACCTTCAGGTACAGAAGAATTATTAAACAGGACCTAAAACTCACAACTGATAAGATTAATACATTTGGCAAACTGAAAACAAAATCTTTTCTTCCTTAACAGACCAAAAAGAATGAAACTCACAAAACATGAACTGAAAATAGGTATCTACACAATCATAAAATCAATAAGGTTTGTTGTGTACTTTACCTGCTTAAAGAAAAATACTACAATAGAAAAATGAGTAAAAGACAACTTGCAATCAAATGCAGGTACAGAAACATGCACACAATCTGTTTCACCTCTAAACTATATCCCCAACCATTTTTATAAATATTATTTTTGAGACAGGGTTTTATTAACTTGCCATCCTTATGCCTCAGTCTTCTGAGGAGCTGGGATTATGGGCATTACCACCATGCATGGCTGTCCATTAATACTCTTTACCCTTTAAATGAATGTTATATTTTTGTGTGTGTGTTATGAAGCTTCATTTGAAAAGCTGATGGAGTTTTAAGGTTGAAAGCTAACATCAGTATTCAAATTCAAAGCTTTGTTTCTTTCAAAGTAAAACTTGTAAAAAGACAAGTTTTAATATTAACCAGTAAAATGAACAAAAGCAGAGATGGTCTGGCTGAAGTGAAGAAGAGCCAAGACCCCATGCTCACACAGAGCCTGCAGTACCTCTCCAGAGGAAAACAGTAGTGGGTGGAGAACTGGACTCCACATCAAAATCACTCCAATCCTGAAATTCTTTGATTCTAATGCCCAGGAAGCATTCACTTATTGTTACTTACTACTCCATGAAAGATCAGAGAGCAGAGCCAAAAGGGCTAGATGCATGATATTTAGCTACTATGTAAATGGATCTCTCTCTCTCTCTCTCACACACACACACACACACACACACACACACACACACACATATATTTGCTCCAGTGTACTCTGTAGATAACATGGTCTCCTCCCAGTCAGTTCAATTACCTTAGCACAGGCATTTTTAGTTATTATGTCGACATAGCTGTCACTCTGTCATTTATAATATTTAATTGGCACATTTCCCAGGGTTATTAAATTGGTGAGCTCCAAACATTTTGAGATTACCTCAATGAGAAACACTGTGCTCAGTTTCAACTGGATTAAATAATTAAGAAAATATTCCTGGGCTGGGGTTGTGGCTCAGTGGTAGAGTGCTCACCTTGCATGTGGAAGGCATTGGGTTCGATCCTCAGCACCACATAAAAATAAAATAAAGGTATCATGTCCATCTACAACTAAAAAAATATTTAAAAAAAGAAAATATTCCTAGTCTTTAAAAGACATTTTTTTCTAAAAAACAAAAACAAAAACAAAAAACCAGTACACTTGGTTAATTTGAAAATGTTGTAAAAGTAGCCTTAAAATAGATTTTTAAAAAGGATTTATCAGCATCAAGACAGCACAGGAACAGTAAACCAGTGACACTCACAGTTGATTATCTGGTACACAGTAGAGATTCCAATGTACGAACAAACCAGAAACAAAGCATAAGTAAAAACGTGAAAATTAGTTTACTGGCTAAGTTTCTATTTTTGTTTTTTTTTAAACTACCATCTTCTTTGTTCAATAACCTCAAACTATTTTTCATCAAAAACTACATAAAGAGAACTACTAAAAAATAACCTTAAACAATATATTCTACAACTTATAATACTGTTTCAAAGATAATAAAAAAAAAATGAATTGGTACATATTTTTCATAAGACTAGGAAAAAAATCAATACAGAGAAGTAAAAATGAGTCAAAATATTGGCATTTATAGGAAAGACACCATATTACAAGAATTACAATATACCTGCTTTTTATGGCAGACTTGAAAATGTACTTCCAATTATAAACACTTCAACAGATTACTTATCTACATTTGTTAACTAAAGAGAGAGAAATAAAAACAGGAATCTTTCAATAGTCCTTAACCAAACAATGACACTTTTCAATTAATGTAAATTAAAAAATAAACCTATTATGACTATCAATCTAATTCAACTGGAAACTTCTTAAAACATAGTTTCTAGAAAGGAGTTTAGTTTGAAAGGGTAGATATACATATAGTCATACCCTTTGGTTGCAAAATATTTAAAAACTTGCTTTTCTCATCTCAAAACTCAAACTACTTTCTTTTTTCAACTCTATTATTTTGAACCATAAACTTAGAAAATATTTTTTTGAATGGACTTCCCTTATAAATGGTCCTAAAGCTTGATAATGAGACCTTCTCAAAAGACTTTTCCAAGTACCTGGCCACTAGTAGCAGCAAACCTTGAAACAGAGGATATAGAGTATATGACAAATAAAACCACCCTCTGAAAAGACATCACACTACTGTTTATAAAAGTTTTAAAAGTTTTCAAAGATTGCAGACACCATCTACCGTTTCCATGAAGTCCATCTTCCCAGCTAAAGGTACAATCTAACCGGGCAGCACATATCAACTACTACATTCTCCCACTCCTTGATACTTACTTGCAGCCTGACAATGAAATCGAAATCCTCGTGGAATTTCTCCTGTAATACAAAATATTTTGAGAAGCAGAAATTTGGAAGTTCCCTACTTGTACTATAGTAATATTCCAAGTTACAGCATGCGTAGGAATTTTTATTATGTGAAAATACAAAAAATTAAACCTTCAGTGTTTGTTTTTTAACCAAAGGCAAAGACTACCCAAGAACTTGGCATACTGTCTAAACTACTTTCAAAAGTTACTCCTTACAGACAAAAAAAAAGCTGGGTTTGTGGCCCAATAGTAGAGCATTTGCCCAGTACGCGTAAGGCACTGGGTTCGACCCTCAGCGCCATGCAAAAATAAATGAATAAATAAAAGTGTATATATATATATATATATACACACACACATAAAGCTTTTACAAAAGGAGTCCATGAATGGGGCTCTGGGTTGAGGCCCTGCAGGAAGAAGACCTCCACAGTTTGCCTTATAACACACAAGGAAAAAGAAACTGCTCAACTTGTTCTAGGCAACAATGCTCACAAGTGTGAGCAGAATGATTAGTTTTTCAAATATATAAAAATGAAAGATCATCTTATATATAAAATTAATTTAAACCAATGACAAAACTAAAGCCAAAGTTCTTTTCTCAACCTTCCCTTCTCACCTTCAAGGAGATGACGCTCCCTTAACTTCCATCTACCCTTTTGGGAACTGAACCAAATCCTATGTCTTCAGAACTACCTGGCTATTACTGTGGGTGGAATCATGGAAAGCAGAGATACTAATACAATTTGAGAGTGCTAGCTATTTCCACACTCTCATCTGTTTCCTGTAAAGGCCACCCAATGACAAGCTAATGGTTTCGTAGTTTCCTCAAGGTTACAAACAGCAACTTAATAAAAAACTAGTGATCCAAATGTAAGGCCACAGAAAATCAAGGGGCAGGTTTCACCAATGCTGACACTTACTTAAAGCTAAAAGCTACACCAACAACCCCATGTCAACACCTAAAACCTCAATTTTTCTTGTTATATTATAAGAACTTGTTTGTATTTATGCTTTTAAGAATACAAATACCATTAGTAAATGAAATAAATTTTTTTTAAAAGTATGCTCTTTGATCTAGTATCTACACTCACTGGCTACTTACCAGGACTTATGAAACTGTGGAAATCAGCCATGATACCCTCCTGGAGGGAGTACTTAACACAGCCAATTTCACAGGGGAGGAAGCGCTGTTCACAATGAGGTGGCAGCTCGCCGTGGCTAAAAATGTTCAAAAAGTAGAAAATGCTTCCAAGGAGAGCTACAAGAAAAAAATCATAAGACAAAAAGAACAAATGAGTGTCTTAAATCTATCCCTCCCCAAAAGCCTCTTTAGTTTGAGAGGAAGAAAGTTTTGGAACCAATGCGTGTTCCTAAATTCCTGAGTGAGCTGAAATGAGAAAAAATTCACAAAATTTTGGCTTGTATCACCATAAGTAAGCCAAAATTTTTATAATTACATTTATCAAGAATTATAGTAGTAACCACTCTTTGTTTAAAGTGACAAAATTATTCAATTTTATAAATTTATTAATTATACAAAATTATATAATTTATATATTATATAAAAATAAATTTATAAATAATTCAATTTTATAAATCAGCTACACTCAGTCTTGACTCTCAGGACCCATATTCAACAAATAAAAAGCAAATACAAATCAAGCAGAATGGGTAAATTCTGTAAACTACGGAAAATTTAGCTCATTCCTTTTATGCTTTTTACCAATATATGTAAGCCAAGTATAAATGAGGAAAAAATGTATGAATGTGTGAAGTGATTTATTTAGCAGGACTGGCCATATTTAAGACAAATATTAAATATTTATTCTGTGTTAAACAAAGACCACAACTGTCAAAAACAGCCAGAAGAAAGAGCAAGGGCCCTTTATCAGCTATTTCTCTTCTGTTAGCTCAGTAATTCACCTTTACCCTTACTATTCCCCCAGAATATTATTTTTAAACTTTATTTTTAGTTGAAAAATAGTAATTGTATATCCTTTGGGATACAATGTCATTTTGATATTATGTACATTGTAGATTAAGCTGCACTAATTAACATGCTTATATCCATCACTTCCCATATTTAGTCATGCAAACATTTAAAATCTACTCTTAGCAATTTTGAAATATACATTACACTTTTATTAACTATAGTCACCCCATGATACAATAGATCTCAAAAATTTACTCCTCCTGTCTACCTTTATAACAAGCGTATTTAGTTATATACAAATAAGTATCTACATTCAACAATATTTGGAATGACAGAAATCAAGAGACGACATTTGTTACAAAAAGCTCTCCAGTAAAATTTTAAAATTTTCTTTTATTAAAGGTTATACAAAGCTATAATAAATATCTAAACACTTATAGTCAAGTACTTTTAAATGGAGAATCAAAATACAATGTTTTTACTGACCAATACATCATTAGTGTTTTGAGTGTCTAAATTCAAACAAAATATTTGGGGAATACTTTACCTTGATCACTTTTTAGAGACAAACTTGACATATCTGGGGGTGAAACACTCTGCTTTGGTACGAGCATGCCTGGCCTCCTTAGTGGTGTGGAAACAAGTTTCTGAAGAAGAAAAGAATCATCATTCACACACTTAAAAACTGGATGGATCAAACATTTTAATTCACCAAAATAATTTCTCAATAACCTATAGATTATGTCAGAAACCTCTCAGGGCCAATAAACCCAATGAAAAATCATATATGTCACTAACACCAACATTCAAAGGCAGCGAATGCTGCAAAAGCTATAAGTATACTGAACCAGAAGGTGAATGGTAAATAACAAACTCAACTATTATCCACTATTGATCAATCTCATGTTCCTGAGCCACCTATGCCAGGCCAGTGGCCCAAAGAACACCTTTCCCCAAAGAACTCTAATATTTAAAAACCAGATTGTGCCAACTCCAAGTCCCACAGGAGGTATATATACAACACACCTTAAGTTTTGAAGGGAAACAGAAGAAATCAAAGTTAAAAAAAAAAAATAGGGGTCACAAATATAAGTACAAATTCGACTAGAGCTTCTACTCAAACATAAATAATAAAATCTCTCAAAAACAAGCAAAACTCTCTTGATTTCATTCAGTGTTAACAGTGTAAGAATGGAAGGAACAGAGGGAAAGGGAAGACCACCTTTACAGTTACCTTGTACTTTCCTGAAACAAATAAGCAACACAACAAACCTCAGTACTCCAGGGAGATCCGACTGCTCGGAAACTGTGCTGACAGCTCATTCAAACCTGTGAGATACCCCTCGCCAAGATATCCCAGTCCCGTATTCCAGCCTTTAAAACACAGCACCTGGCTTGGTTCTAGGGAATGCTTTAAAATAATCCTCCAAACTACCTTTAATCATCCAGAATCAAGAGCTGTCGTGATTCTGGGCTGATTCAGGGCTGCGGGGGAATCCGGGGTCGTCCAGCGCAGCCCCACGCACCACGCACCGGCCGACCGAGGCCCACCGTGCGGCGCTCAGGCAGGGTCCCGGCCTCCCACCCGCCCTCGGCCTTCGTGGCGCCGCCTCGGCCGGTCGCCTCACCTGCTTCTCTGAAGGCCCGGAGTCCTTTCCCTGGGCGGCTCTCCACTCCCGAGCCATTTCTGTGTACTTCTCCTTCTCTTCCTCCCTCAGGAGCTGTGGGAGGAGGGCCAGAGGAGAACACGGTGAGGACCTTGCCCGGCTGCTCCCTGCCCAGGCGAGGCCCTCGGCCTCCAGCTGCCCAACTGCCCAGCCGCCGCCCTCGGCCTCACCGCCCAGTCCGCTGAGCAGTAGGGGATGGCGTCCGCCACCCGGGCCACAGGCAGGCCTCGCCTGCGCAGTTCGGGAATCTTCTCCTGCACGAAGAAGTAGTAGGCATTGCGGCTGGCCCTGCGGTTCGGCATGGCGAGCGTCCAGGCGTCGACGCTGGCCTGAGACGGAAGAAGCCGCCAGCGCCCTCGCTGGGCTCCCGCCCTTAGTAACCGAGCAGCGACTGCGCGTGCAGCCAGCCAGCTCTCGGCCAATCAGAGCGCAGCGCGCAGCCGCACTGGCCCGAGGAGGGAAAAAACAGCCTGAAACCGGAAGATTCCACCACGGTGCTGCCTGGGGTGGGGAGGGCCAACGTCACACATGTGAACTGTTCTAATTGGCCAGGAGGGATTGGGGGAGGAGCATTGTCACGTGGTAGGGTTGCCGCATTTTCCGTACATTGTTGCGTACCAGGTGTGCAAGTAGGTAGAGAATAAGTACTGGTGGGCGCTTTGGGTTCCTTGGTGTTTTACAACTGCAAGTGATGATTATTTGCTGAGAATTGTGAGAGGCATTCGGTGGGGACAGAGTGAGGAACGCCACAAATAAGGTCCTTCCCGCAAGAAGTTTACTGGATGATGAAACAAGTGAAGCAACAAAGAAACATTTTAATTGCATTTAAAAATGTGATAAGGAAACAGCAAGAGGCTGAGATTTAAACTAAGTCTTTGAATAAATTTTTAGGTTTCTTATGAAGGTATGGCTCAGTTTTTGTCAGTTTTATTAATAGGTCACAATACTTTTGGAGCTATTATGAAAGATTTCTTTTTTTCTCTTTGTTTATTGGTTACTGCTGATGTGTAGAGAAGTATTGATTTCAGTGTTGATCCTGTGTATTTAGTCATACTGAACTGTCTGTACTGGTTCAAATACTGCCAGTGGATTCTCTTGAATTTCCTAGTTAGATATATTTCCCAGAGTAAATGCTTTCTTTCTTCATCTTATTAAGTGTGTGTATGAGTACTATATGTATATATGTATCTTAAATAAACAATTGAAATTTCATTACATGCTTTCTCTACATTTTTCATATAACCATACAGTTATATCTTCCAGTTTGTTAACATAATGAATAATACTGCTAGTTTTTTCTAATGTTAAAGCATCCTATCATTGTTAGCATGAACTCCTCTCAATTATGAGGCATTGCTAAAATTTTAAAAACCATACCTAATATAGAATTTTTATTTCTTTAACTATAGTGATACCAAATTACAGATTTTGTGGTGTTGACCTTAACAAACGTTGAGCGTTCAGCATTGTCATAGCCTCACAAAATGAACTACTATTTTTTTCTTCTTTCAGATTTGAAAATGGATGGTAATTACCTATTTCTTGACAGTTTGGTAGAAGTTCTTAGTAAAACTCTCTAATCATAGTGCATCTCTGGAGGGTGGGATTGTGGCAGACCTTTGACTACCATCTCAGTATAGTTTATTAGTTTTTTTCAGTTTTTCTAGTTTTCCTCTGCCAGTTTTTGTAATTTTCTTAGAAAATTGTTGTGATAATCAGCTTTTCGTTACTGTGACCAAAATACCTGACAAGAAAAACTTAGAAGAAAAGTTTATTTGGGCCTCAGAATTTGACACCATTCAGTCCCTGGTCAGCTGGCCCCATTTCTCTGGGCCTGAGGAAAGGCAGAGCATCATGGCAGAAGGGCAGTCACAGAAAAACGTTCAGCTTATGGCAGCCATGAAGACTGGAGTGGAGAGAGTGAGGAAGAGGCTATAGTCCCCAAGGACAAGATCCCAGTGACCTGCTTTCTCCAGGCATGCCTCGTCTGCCTGTAGTTATTATCTGGTAGCCTATTCAAATTATTAACCATAAAGTGGATTAATCCATTGATGAGGTTATAGTTCTCAAAATCCAATCATTTTCTAAAAGCCCCACCTCTGAACCTTGCTGCACTGGGGTCCATGGTTGGAACATGAGCTTTCGGGAAATATTCCAGATCCAAATTGTAACAATTATCTATTACATTTGGATTTTCAAGTATTGAAAATTTGGAAAGGGGATGAAGCAACTGAAACTTTCATACTTTATTGCTGGGACAGATGCTTGACAGTTTCTTACATTTATCAGAGGAGCCAGCAATTCCACTTTTTTAGAAGGAATGAAACTATAGTCATACAAAGCTTATAGATAATTTTTATAGCCTCTCTATTCATAAGAACCCCAAGCCAGAAAATCCAAATGTTCGCCAACAGGTGAATTAATAAGTTACAGTCTACTGACAGATGTCTGCTAAGTATATGTCTACTCAGAAATGAAAAGGAATGAACTAGCACTGATACTCATCAGCATAGATGTGTTTTGAAATTTTGTTGAGTAAAAGAAGGTATACATAAAAGGGTACATATTATATGATATAAAAACGTGGAAAATCCAGATATGGTTCATGCCTGTAGTCCCAGCAACTTGGGAGGCCAAGGCAGGAGGAGCCCAAGTCCAGCCTGGGCCACTTAGTGAGACCCTGTCTCAAGATTAAAACATTAAAAAGGCTGGTGACATAGCTCAGGAGTAGAGCACCCAGGTTCAATCCCCAGAATCATCATCATCATAAAATAAGCCTCAAGAAAAGGTGAAACCATAGTATAGATGCGATATCAGCCACAACCTGGGTCCAGGAGGCCAGGGAAAGAGGTTGACACTGGAAACCTAGGTTGGCAGAAATATTTCATGCTGTGTAGTTGTAAGTAGTACATGTCAAAATTCATCTAACCATACACTGAATGTGTGCATTTTATTGCATGTAATTTATAGCTCAAAAGTTGATTTTATAAACAAAAGAAATATTGGCTTAAAAGGAAGGTGATATTTGCTTGTAATTTAAAACAAATGTTTACAGTACTATTGTCCCTTTCCTTCTCATTCCTAATATTATGGGTGTCTTTTAAGTTTTTTCTTAGTACTGCCCAAACTAATTTTTTTTAGAAAAAAATTTTATAACTTTATTTTTGCATTACAATTCTTAATACACCACTAAACCATACCTTTATTTTATATTTATTTATTTTAATGTGGTGCTCAGGGTCAAACCCAGTACCTACACGTGCTTGGCAAGTGCTCTACCCCAGCTGAGCTACAACCCAAGCCCTCCAAACGTTATCTTACGGATGGCTTTAAAAATCTGTTTGGGTTTTACTGTCAGCGTCACAGTTTTCCTTTCCACTTTTGAGGTTATTACTCTCTGTCTCTACTCACCTCAGGCTGTTTCGAAATTCTTTTCTAGTTTTTTGAATAAAAAGTGTATCCATTCTTTTCAATGTCTACACTATGTCTGTGGCTTATTTTCTCTCTTTTACACTAGTTGGATCAATCAGTTTTTCTCCACTTTCTCTTCCACTGGTTCTGAAGTTCACATCTTATTGCTCTTCATTCTTTCCTTACCCATTACGTTTTAAGGTTCTTGTTTTAAAACATACACTCTTATATAGGTATCCATACTCCCCGTTCCCAAGCAGGCAAGAAGCTTAGAAAATTAATACTTCTCCCTCTCTATCTCCTCTTCTACTGCTCCCCCATCCTGCTGTCCCTGTCATGCCTTGTCAATGTCATCCAAGATTTTAGTTTTAGGTTTGTTTGGTTTTAGGTTTTTAATAATACCAATATTGAGACATAATTGAAGGATAACCAACTGAGTATATTGAAAGTGTTGTTGTTGGAGTTTGATGATACATGTATACATGTATACACCTGGAACTGTTACTGCCATCGAGATAATAAACATATCCATCTCCCAAGTTTCCTCGCCACCCCTGCGTTGCTTGAGGCTGCCCACAGTTCACAATGCTGTTCATTTTCCTTTAGGCTTTTCTTTTGTTTATATGCTTTCCTTATATTTCCTTCTATGTCTAATCTGCTATTAACACCATCCAATGTATTTTCTCATCAGATTGTTTATAGTTTTCATCATTAAAAGTTAACTGAACCACACATATATATACACACATATAGTTATTATAATCATATTAAACCTTATAACTATATTCCATGTTAAAAAAGGTAGAAAAGAGAGATAGACCATATTGAGTAGAGAAATGGAAGACAGATAGTAACCTTGAATCATCTTTACTCGTTTATGTCATCTGAGTCATTTCTGGTCTGTCTCTTTCTACTGGCTGACTTTCTTCTTCTGGTCTGCATTGTCTTGCTTCTCTGTGTGCATGTCTGGAAGTATCTGACGGGATGCTACTCTTGTAAACTTTAGCCTTTTAAATGCTGCCTATTTCTGTATTCTTATAAATATTCTTATGCTTTGTTCTGAGTCACAGTTTGGTACTTAGAAACAGTTGAAGACTGTTTTGCTTCTTTTGAAACTTGCTTTTGTGGTTTCTTGTGTGAGATCCGAGCAACCACTAGGACTAATTTCCTCCTCTATTGATACTGCACCCTTCTGAGGACTCCACCTGAGGACTCATGAGTCTGGAGATTTCTCCATTTTGGCTGATGGGAAACAAACTATTTCCAGCCCTGTGTGAATCCAGAGACTGCCCCCACCCCATCCTTTCTCCCAGTCCTTTCCCTGGCACCGTGGTTCCCGCCCACGTCGGCGATGATCAGCATTCAGCTTTAGCTACAGCGAGGAGGGAGTCTCTCCCTTTCTATCTTTCTGGTAGTCTGCCCACACACTCTTGCCACTGTGTCCAACCAGGACACCTGAGCCCATCCCCTCAGCCCCAGGAGCCCCCTGACTCTGCCCAGGCTGCCCTTCCTGATACCACATCCTGGGGCTCTCCCCTGGCAGCAACCTGGGACAACCACAGGCTCACCTTGTTTTCCCGTCTGTTCCCTGATAGACCCTCTCTGAAAAAATTGTTTCATATGTATTCGACCAGGGTTTTAGTTACAGGCTGCTGGATAAATCTGTTCCCTGTTACTCCATCTTGATCAAGATAACTCCCTTCTTATTTTAATCTTAAAACAGTATTTAGACTAAACTACTAAATTTTAGATAGGTGGACAAGGGAGACCTCCCTGCAGAGCAGGTGACCTTTAGAACAAGGTAGGATAGAAAGGAATGGAGAGAGGAGCATTCTGAACAGAGGGAACAGTATATGTAAAGGCTCAGATGACTCAGATGTCCTCGAGGTAGAAGACTGGTGCATGCTGAGGTTGGAGAAATCGACAGGATTGAGAGTGGCCACTAGGAGTGGTTCAACTACAGCTCTAAATAAAACCGTTGCCATTTAAGGGTTTTATTTTGTGTATTTATCATTTGTTTTTGATTGACAAATTACTACGTACAACATTCTTTGAAATATGTGCCCACTGCAGAATGGCTGAATCGAGCTGATACAAGCATTACATCATGTACTTATTTTCTATGCTGAGAGCACTTGAAATCTACTGTAAGGTTTTTAAAGACATATCAATGTGTGGTTTGCAGTTTAGGAAGATCAGTTTTGTTGTTGAAGAAGGGCTCACAGCAGGATGGATGTGCACAGTGAGACTGTTGGGAGGCTCCCTCAAGAGTCCAGGTGGCAGACGATGGTGACTTAGGACAGAGAAACCACAGTAGATGTGGAGAGGCGAGGGAGAACTCAAAGGGCATCTCAGGGAAAGAGAGAATGAGCTCATACGAGGAGTGTGTAAGAGAGAGAAAGGAGGGATCCCTAGGTTTGGGTTTGAGTAACTCAATGGCAAGTGATGCTTTTTCTAAGAGGGAGACAGAGGGGGGCAGCTAATGCCAAGGAGGGCCCAAACCTTCCCCATAATTTCTGGTATCTGCTCCTCTCCCTCTTTGGTACAATTCATTTAAAGAAATCTACGTAAACATAATTCTACATAAACAGAACAGCTTTCCCCACTTTCCAACCAAATCAGCTCTCCTATTCAGAAATTATAAAGGCTGGCAGGGTTTGTTGGGGTGTGTGTGGGAGGCTGGGGATGCAGAGTTCCCTGTGGTCATGTTGACTTCTAGATGTCTACTGTGTATTCAAGTGGAGATGTCAAGTAGGCAGTCAGCCATGTAAGCTGAAGCTCTGGCTGGAGGTGGAATTTGGAAGTAAGCCACATAAAGATGATATTTAAATTCATGGAAATGGATGAGATCACCTAAGGAGAGATTGGAGAGGAGGAAAAGGATCCAGGATGGAGTTCTGAGGAACACTAGCATTTAGAAGTCAAAGAAGGAAGACCAGTAAATGTGAATAAGGGGAGACATTCTAAGAAGTGAGAAGTGCAGGAAACCAAGGAAAGAGAACCGTTCTGGCAGGAAGGCACTCAGTTATTCAGTGTCTATTTAGTAAGAGCCTACTGAGTACTAGGCTACCTTAAGCACAATAATAGGTGGATAGAAGAAAGCTTCTAATGAGGAAAACAGACAATAAAGAAATACACAGTCATACCCCTACCAAGATGTCAGGTCATCTTATAGCACAAGTTGAGTAAGGAAAACTAATGCAGGATAAGGGAATAGCAACGGAGGGACTGTGCAGTTTTAGGGTGGTCAGAAAAGACCGTCTATGAGGAAATGAAATCTGAGCAAAGACTGGAATGAGGAGGCAAACCATGAAGATATGGGAGGAAGAGCATTCAGACAGGGGACAGCAAGTCCAGAGCTCTGAGGTGGGAGCACACAGGCACGTTCAGCGAGGCGAGCGACCGGGGTAAATGGGTAGGGTGAAGGTAGAGAGGCTATTAGGGAGGGAGTGGGGGCCAAGTCCTATAGGGCTTACAAGACCACCATAAGGACTTAGAGTTTACCTACATGGGGTGAAGCCACTGGAGGCTTGGACGGCTTCCACTTTTTTTTTTAAACATGAAGTGTAAGGTGTAATTTCTAGCCAAATGTTATGAAAATCACCTGAGAAAACCAGTGTGTTCATGTAAAACATGTCCTAGTTTTTTCCTGATGCTGGTTTGAGTTAAGCTCCTGACGTTGTTCACTGTGGGTCCTCCCTCCATCCTGTGATGATGGTGGCGCTGATGAGAGGATACATGCATTACAAGGTACTGTGTTGGATTCTTTGCTAAAGGCTCCTGGAGGGTCATTTCATCTCCTCCTCATGCAACCCCATGAAACGGATTCTGTGATTTTGCCGGTTTGCAAAGGGGAAACTGAGGCCACACCACACATGAGTGACCTTGAGCTCTAAGCACTCCCTGCTTCAACATTCATACACCAATCTGCTCCTTACGGATGCTCTTTTTACTACCAAATGTTGTGCCAAAGCAGAGGGGAATCTCCAACTACCTTCTAGACACTGCCTGAACACACCGCTGTGCTCTGCAGTGTGGAGGATCCTCCTGCTTGCTCAGGCTATACATGCAACTCTTGTCGGGTCGTGTGGATTCTGCCTGTTGTCTCCCTGTGGAGTCTGTTGGTTCTTCCTTGTGCTGTCCCATAGTGTAGTTCTATGCTTGGCCCTTCTAGGGATCTGGTAAGAAACTTTCCCAGGGGAGTGGCCTCTGTTGGTTTCTCTTCCAACTCCTGCTACACTCTGCAGCCAGATAAACTGCCCAAATACAGGTCTGATGTTCTTCTGCTTAGAAATTCTCATGGGGGTGTTCTTTGCCTGTGGAGTTAAGTCCACACCTGGTGGCTTGGTCTCCCCTGTCGGTCCCCAGCCTACCTGCCCAGCTCATTACTGGCTCTGCGCTTTGTGGACCCAAGCTCCAGGCAGCAGGTCCTGCTGTCACTTGCCTGTTCCTTGCACCTCTGTAGGACCTCCTTGTCCCTTTCTCAGGGTCACCTTTACATGAAGATATCTCTGACCAGCACTATTGATGGATAATTGATCCCTCTCCATCTCTTGTTTCTACATTATATCTGGTACATGTCCTACCAGACCCTGTCACACATCATATTGAAAGACCTCGTGTTTGCCCTTCCCCATGCGTATGGCTACAACTTGATTATTAGCTCTTTGAGGTAGGAGGATGTAGTTCATTCACCTTTGAATGCCTATCTTGAATTTCTAGATATAATGGACACTTTTGTGTGTGGAAAATGGATGAACTTAGGCAACAGAAAGATGAGGAAAAGGAAGGTGAATAACCTGGAATAGTTTGTAATTAAAGAAATTTATGATGATTCTCTCCGTGTGTAGGGCACCCCGAATTGGGGGAGGGGTACTGCACCAACACGTGTGAGAGAGTCCCCCCTCACAACTCCAGCACGGTCCCTTGGACCTAGAGCCCTGCTTGCCCATTGGAATCAGAATTGCTCTGCTGCTCATTTTGGGGGCCATGAATGCTATTCAGGTCTCCAGAAGATGCTCACATCTAAACAAAAACAGAAGCAAAGGGAAAAAGAGGGCTCCTAAAGGAAGCAGCCTTACTTCAATCTTTGGCTCAAATTACAAAGAGATTACAGTTGGAACTCTCCCTTGGTAAGGGCTCCCGGGCCCCGCTGCTCACAATTAACCTGATTAACTGAGCACAATTGAAACATCAGGAGAGCAGGTGTACATTTGGGGGCTTTTTGGGCGGCTGAAAATACAGACCTGACAAACACCTGTCCCCCTTCTCCCTGCTTCTCTCCTTCCTCCGGGGTCGTCCTAGAGACTCAGTCAATTTTGGCAGAAGCCTATCTTCTGACCAGCAAGTTTTTTTTACATTGTAGAAATGAACTTAGGCAACAGAACATAGTACAGTACATAGAAATCATAGAGAAGAAAATGTAAATTGGTGACGGTCTTACCCAGAGATGGCTATTGTTACTCTTTTATTGTTTCCTTTGTCTCTTTTAAATGCACTTTTTGACATTTGAGTCCATACTGTAAGTATCCTTTTATGTTCTACTCTTTTTTTCTTCACACCATCCTTTGATGGACTCTTGGAGAAAGCATTGGGGAGAGCTGATGCAGGGGAGGCTATCCCACTGCTGGGGGGGTGGAGCGTCTGGCCTCAGGATGGAACACAGAAGTACCCAGCCCAGCACCCACCCAGCATCCAGCCCTGCTGCAGTTGGACTGAAGCCTGAGGCAGCCGGCTCTTGGATTAGATCTGCCGCAAGTCGACTTCTCAGCATGTTCTCTAGTCTTTTACTTATTATATACTCACCACTGTTCTTGCCAGTTCATATTTTGGGGATGGGGTGGCATCATGCACTTTATATTTGCTTTTTTTAAAAAAACGAAACAATTTTTTCCTCAACATGAAAGGGCTTCCAGATTAAAAAATGTTTCCATTTTCAGCATAGAGCCTCCATTTTTAAAATTTCTTTTGTTTAATTTAGTTTTTTTAACCTTATAATTGAGGATGGTTTTGAAGGTTTGGGGGATGGGAAGGCAGCACAAGGAAGGAGAAATGAACCCAACTTAGATGAGAAGCATGGCATCTGTTCTTGAGGCACACTGCCTGTATTCCTCCTGGAACACAAGATCGGAGAGGAGCAGTGGAAATGTGATTCTATGCGTGTGCTTTATAAAGACCTGTGTTAGCAGGATTCGTGTGCGTGCACGCCTGTGTCTGCAAGAAGACTGTGTTTTAAAGGATTCGGTGGCATTGTATTTATAACTATGTGGTTGCTACCAGCTACCAGCATGTCTCCTTGCACTGGTTCACTTCCCTTTTCCTGTGTCCCAATTCTGTTCTAAAATGTACAGTTTTGAGGGAGCAGCCTGTTAGCCCACCTGCCTCCCCACCAAACACAACCCTAGCTGTGGCTTCCTGGGAATTCTGGTCTGGTCCCACATAGGACTTGTTCTGACATGTTGGTTTCCAGTTGCAGGAGAAAGTGTCAAGATGAGCCACTCTCTATTTAGGGTCCTGTCCTACGCGGCAAGGACAAATGGACAACTGGAGCTTAGCCAGAGGGTAGGTACATTTGAAAACATTAACTCCACAGCTTCCCAAGAGGTTAGGCATTGCTTCTTCAACATTAATGTGCATCAAAAGCACTTGGGGAAGGCAGATTTCCAGGCCTGCCTGGCATATCAGATCTCATCAGTTATAGTAAAGCCTGGGAATTTGACTTCTAAGTGGGCCTGATAATGTGATTCTGGTGTTGGAAATTCAAAAACCACACTTGGAAGAACACGGGATTCTGGGTGTCACACTCTACTACCCTCCATCAATATGGCAAAATAATATGCCCCATCCTCCTCCCAGCTCCCTACCTTAGGCTGCATGCTTTGAATCAGTAGGTATACCCTTAAACCCTTAAAGCTTGTTACCTCCATCATTTTGGTAATAATGTGCATTTGGGGGGGCACACACTAATTTAGGGGATGACCTGCAGCCCCACTCATGCAGGAAGACTCAGGATAGACCACCTGTAGCTCTTTGGGTATAAAGTGGGCATGCAGGATGCTACGCCGACTTCCAGCTCCTGGGATGGTAGACCAGGTGCCTGTCTTCTGTGATTCCCTCTGGCTGAGCTCTTCAGCACACTGCTTGCCTTCCCTGGAAGTGTGCACAGGCATGTACTCTGAGCACACATGCAAAGCTCACTTCTGTGGGCCTTCACTTTCCACTTCACCAGCACATCCTGGGTCTCTTCACTCAGTCCATTTCCCGTTTTCACCTGTAGAAACTTGTTTTTGTGTCCAAATTGTGTATAAAAATGCCATTGTTAAGTGTGCTCAGATACTGAACATTATTCAAACGCTTTGGCATACCAGGTATGCACATACATATAGCAGCAAATGGCAGAACATAATACAAACACTGCCTCATCTCAAACCTCTGGTGTCCTCAAACCCTTTTATGGTGCAGACTCGATCACTTTGGAGTTGGATGACCTAAGTGCAAATGAGAGTGCTGTCTTTTACTAGCTACCTGACCTCAGAGGAGTTACTTATACTCACAAGGCCTAGGTGTCCGTATTAGGATTAAATGAGAAATATTGTAGAACATGGAGATTCTATGCCTAGAATCTAATAAGAAACTCACAAATGTTAGGTACCTCCTTTGTTTCTATATACTTTTTTTTTCATCTCACACAGCATGTTATTCAGGTTTCTTAGTGGTGTGCACCCAAAATCATCTTGGCAAAAATAAAACAGACAGGAAGAGAGTTCATGAAAAGATACTAGGAGGCTCCAGCCAGGAAAGCTGGAGATCCAGATGCAGAAGACAGTCTGGAACCCAGAGAGGCTAGCAAAACAGATGGTCACACTGTCCTGCCTCCTGATGACTCGCTCCATATTGCTGTGACCCAGAGGCCAGGCTTGACCTGCCTGGGTCAAGGATCTGCACTCTGGCTGGAGCAATCGGGAGCTGCTCTGGACTTTCAGCTCCTGGAGTTGGACTTGCTCAAAAATGTGAAGGGAGCTCAAAAGCCAGGTAGCCATGGAAGACCCCCACTCAGGGTCTCCTCCTGGTTTCCTATGTGCTCAAGTCACCCCTGCTTTCAGATGTGATTATCCTGAGGTATGGAGTTAGGAACTCTTCTCAAGCCAGGGCCACTATTTTAGACCTTTCTGTGTTGTCTGCCCATAATGCCCCACACATGACATTTTCCCACTACCAATCCCTGACCATCCCAGATCTTGCCCATTCTGCACATGCAGAATGTGCAAGTGCTATCTCTCCTTATGGTGATCCTCACCCCCTCAAGACCAACTAGCTCCTTCCTTCCTGTTCCCCAGGAAGTTTCCCTGTGTCTCTATGACCACATTTGCTGGATTTTACAATGAATATGTATTATTTTGACCCTAATGGTCTGAATTTCTCCTCTCTTGAACCCAAGATGAGGTTCCCTAAAGGCAGAAGTCTGTCTTATCCTCGGATCCTTAGTTCTTAGCACCTAGGAGAGACGACACATATTTGGTAAGCCAAACATATATTCCTTAGTTCTGTCTCAACACCCTGTGACTCCTTTCCTACACAAGTGACAAATCCATTTTAGAGATGGGAATAATCCAATGAGCATGCCCTGCAAAACATACTGGACAGATGTCAGTCACAAATGTTTATTTCATTCTAGTTTTGCCTGTTTTCTGTTAAAAGGCCGTATGCTCTTATTCTTTAACAGGGAAAAGTTGTGAGGCGGGATTCCCGCCTACTTTTTTCAATTCTGCCGCGTCTTCTGGTTCCTTGCATTGCCAAAAAGAGAGCCAGACTCAGGGGTGGGGGCCCAGGGAAAGCAAACCTCCTGCCTACCGGACCTGCAGCCTAATATCTGCCAAGTCCCCACAGGTTCCCCACCTCGTCGCCCATGCACAGAAAGCCCGCTGCTGAGTCTCCGGCCCACGTTCTTGCGGGGTTTCCGCTCGCTGTCTCAGCTGGGGGAAACCCGAGGGTCGCTCCTGCTTCCCAGCGCCTCCCCTTCGCGGGCTGTCCGGGTGCCTCTGCGGCTCTGCGCTGACCCCGGGCCGCGGGGGCGGCACGTGATCGGGAAACTTTGGCAGCCGCGCGGCGGGCGGGGAGGCGCGGGCGACGGCCGAGCTCCCCCACGCGGCAGCTCTGGCGGGCGGCGCCCCCGCGCTCGCTGCTGGGCGTGCAGGTCGCCGCGGCTGCAGGGAAGGCGCCGCCGAGCGCCGCGCACAGCCCGCCCGCGGCAGCGCGTGTGTCCGCCGGGCTCTCCGGCGCCACCAGCCCCGCGTCGCAGCCAGCCGGTTCTCCTACGTTCCCAGCCCGGCTCTCCAGCGCGCCCAGCCGGCTCTCCAGCGCGCCCAGCCGGCTCTCCTGCGTGGTCATCCCAGCTCTCCTGCGCGCCCAGCCCCGCTCTCCTGCGTGGCCATCCCCGCTCTCCTGCGCGCCCAGCCGGCTCTCCTGCGTGGCCATCCCCGCTCTCCTGCGCGCCTAGCCGGCTCTCCTGCGCGCCCAGCCCCGCTCTCCTGCGTGGCCATCCCGGCTCTCCTGCGCGCCCAGCCCCGCTCTCCTGCACCGCCAGTTCTTCGGCGCGAACAGCCCAGCCATCCAGGGACGCCTGTGCCGCCTGTGCCGCACGTCGTCGGACCCCTCATTCCGGCCGCTCTTTACTTTCCCGTGCCTGACCTGCATGGGAAGTTGGGGGAAATGGACAGGGTCGTGCTGGGGTGGATCGCTGTCTTCTGGCTAACAGGTAAGAATCGTTTTCCGCGGAGACGAAGAACTTTACGTGTATTCCCACAGCGGTGCGGTTCTCACCCACCCTGGGCTTCCTCCTTAGTGACCATGTTGAAGCGGCTTAGCGAGCTGGTGGTAGGTGGGGGAGGGGCCGCGCGTGTGTGTGTGTGTGTGTGTGTGTGTGTGTGTGTGTGTGAGTGTGATGGGGGGGCGGGGGAGAAGCCCCACGTTTGACTCATCGGCTCTGGGCTTCTGTTCTTTATGCATTCCTCTCTCCATACCGCAGTTCTTCCTGGTCTTAGCCTGAGTTTGTGATGCCGAATCCTGGGAAAACCCTGGCTGAAAAAATCGAAGGCTCGGAGGAGGCTGATTCTTTAAAAAGGGATGATTTGGGGGGAGGTGGGGGACGGGTAGGGGAGTGTCTCCCCAATTCCTTTCTTAGAGAAGGAGGAAGACCCAGAGCATTCTCTGTGGCTCCCTGGGCTTCGGGGTTCAAATGAGGAGGATTGGGGAGACTTGGGGACCCAGGCTTGATTGGTCGTGGAGTCTGGGCCTGGCTCTGTCACTGGTATCATTTGGGGAGTGGTTCCGTGGTAAAAGAAAAAGACCCTTTCTAATAGATGGACTCCTCTCCCCCCCACACACACTCAATAAAGATACTTTGCAGAGAGGTCCTGAGGCCGTGGCCTTCTCCCCATCCATCGCTGGAGCCCCCCTGGATCCTTGTGTCCTCTTCTCCTTTTTGTGAACTTTCTTCCCATTCTTCTGGGGCTAGGAAAGGCTCCTGTTGGCAGCTAACAACACTATGTCCTACCCCCAAGGGACAAATAGCCTAGGGAGTGACCAGCCCTAAGAGATTGCCAAAACTGCCCTAATGAGGGGTGGGGTGGCTTGGGCTGGGATTTGTTCAAAACCAAGTGGGGACAGAGTGATAGAGAAAACAGCAAGGTGTCAGAAAGGTGACAAGACAGGGTGGGGACAATGAGGGGCAGAGATGAAAGGGAAAAATAGCGCAAACAGGAAGAAGTTTTGCCCCTCTGAGTTGCCACCAGGTCTGGAAAAGAAAATCACATCACTTGGAAAGGGGAACCAGGTTAAGATAGCCCAGGCGAGCCTGAAGGAGGGTAAAATACATTTAAGAAGAAAGGCAAATGCTCATTTCTCTTGTTGCAGAATGAGATTATTGATTGCCTACAATTTTCTTCTATTTCAAATGAAAGGCCCCTAACATTGCTCTTGTGCCCCTGGGTTTCAGCTGGAGAGGGTACCCTTAGCAGAGCTAGCATCTTATCTTGGCTGCTCTGAGTTCATCCCTCCCACGTTATTCAAATATGAATCATCTCTAATTTCAGGGTTTGGCTGATCCATGCCTCCCCCTCCCCTGGCCTCCCAGCGTTTCCACTGCCACCCTCAAGATTCCGTTTCCTTAATTTGTCTCTTCTCAGTTATCATCTTCCAGGTGCGCTTAGACCTGCAGCCTGTACCGGCAAATCCCCGAAGTCAGCCAGGCATCTGGGGAGGGGTCCTGAGCCAGAGGAGCTCTTCCAGACCTGCTCCCGAGATGCACTCTGGGGCTGTGCAGGGGATGGGAGCAGCACATCTGGCCTCTCTAGATGGCTGTCCATTTCTTGTGGACTCCTTCCAGTGGCAGGGCCCCGAGAAATCTAGTTCAGCTCTCTTGGTTCTAGAAAAGGAGGCCCAGGGAAGCAGCAGGCACCCAGCACAGGGGTCATTGGAACTAGACTGCAGTTTTCCCAGCCGGAACCTCGGCCGGTCCTGTTGGCATTCTCCCCTTCTGCCTTCCTGGGTTGTTGGAGGGGTTTGTGCAATTTGTGCTTGAGGAGGTGATGCCTGTGCCTTCTGCCCTCCGCACCTGGAGAGGCTGCTCCGACCTGGCAGCAGGCAACAGGTTCCTATCAGGCCACCTCCGCAGTCAGATGGCTGGGGCTGCTTTGCTCTGCAGGGAGGGTTGCTCCTTCCGAGCCAGTGGTCACCCGGGGCACCCTCTCCTCCTTCGCTGGTGTCAGAGGTGCCCAAGGACAAGCTGTCTCTCAGCCTGAGCCAAGGAGAGGAGCTAACAATGGCGGCTGGGGAGGGGGGTCGAGGAGAGAAGAGCAGTGGAGGATGAGTTGGAATCAGACTCATTCCTCACAGAGAAACCATGTGAGGAAAGGTAGAAGATTTTAGTCTAGCCCAATCAATGAATTCTCTCTTGAGGGGGTGGTAGAAAGGGAGGGAGAAAGGAAAAGACGGATTAAAAATGAGACAGCCAAGAAGAAAGCCACATGGTCCTGCCTCCCCCTCCCTCCCCCCCCCCCCCCTCCCCGTTCTCTCTCCCTCCCCCCGCCCCCTCCCCCTGCAGGCTGAGCAATTTCCAATCAACCCTTCAGGTTCCCCCCAGGCTCTAGCAGCTCCTTCCTTCTCTCTCTGCTAAAATTCTGAATTTCTTCCTGCTACATATTTAGCCTCATGATTTCTTATTGTCATTGTGATACTGCTTCCTGCAGTAGATTGATTTTGCTGTTGTTGTTTTGGAAAAACAGAATGCTTACCAGCTGCCATTTTAGCAACAGGTGCCCTCCAGCTACCAGGCTTGAAGGAGGGTTCACTCAGGTCTTTGTTCCTGAATATAGGTGGCATTTCATCGTTCCTGGTAGCAGGGGCTGGGGGAGGGCTGGGGCTTTGCTCTGGGGGCCCATCCGTGTGTTTCCTGGAGACGTTGGCGGGTGTCTGAGATGAAGATTGCCTGCTCTGTCAGCATTTCTTGTGTCAGCCTTGGTGTCATTCATTCATGTGTCCCTCCATTCTGCAAGCTTGTATTAAATTCCGGTGGCTTCTAAGCCCCATGATAGGTGCTGAGAATGAAGCACCAGAGGACGCAGTCGGTGGCCTCGAGCGAGGGTTGTAACCTAGTGTTCAGGCACTTTGTTATGGTGGTTGATGGTCCCTGACGAGCGAGCGCCACCTCGGTGCTGCAGGCCAGCATCGGGGAGGCACAGCGAGGCCACACTAGGGGTTCCTGCCCAGATCAGCTCTCAGAGGAGGTGATGGTGAGTGAGGACTTTTCCTCAGGCAAAGTTAGTGGGCTATTCCCACATCCTGGTCGTTGTGCTGGAGTTAACAAGATAGACAGGACACGGCCACTGCCTTCTAGGAGCCCAGCATGTGGTGCAGGTAAGGGTTATAGAATTGTGGACACTCAGTTATGGAGTGATAGTGTTGTGGGAAAGCAGCAATTGAGACCTGCACTAAGTACTGTGGGTGCCTAAGGGGCTCCTAACCCAGCTGCAGGGGAAGGAGGTATTGGGTAGTGGTCATTTCCTGGTCCCATTTGCACTCGGGTGGTGGCCTGGTGATGGTGAGGACTGGTTTGAGTGTGAAGACAGAGTGGTGTGGAGATGGAAGTGTTGCTTTTGGAGACTTCTGACACCAATTTCCATGCTCTCTTGGCCTACCCGGTATCCCTTCCAATTTCTCTCCCTCCCGTGTTCTGCTTTCCTCCACAGAAGTGACCTGTTCATACCAGGACATCTTCCTTTGATGCTTTTAGCACAGCCATCCTCATGCCCACCATCCCCCAAGTGATGTTTCTCGCTGGGTTCGGAGGAGGTTGTCTCAGTGTCACTCCCTACAATTTGGACATGTGCTTTGGAAGGGTGGTGACCTCATCCTGATTGAGGACTGCAGTAGCAGTCTAGGTGAGGTGCTGTTAGTGCTGTGCTCAGAGTCTTAGTGCCATACTTAGGGCTTGGTTAGTGGAGAGATCCCTTGCATGGGAGATGTGGATTAGATTCTAGTCCCAGCTCCTCCTTAAGCCACAGTAGGTTTGTATCTTGGTCTTGAAAAGTGAGGAATGAGGTGTTTTTCGAGGTTACTTTTACCTCTAAGATTCTAGATTCTGAACTTTTCTCCCTTTAGTTTAGACTGGAAATCAGAGCTTGAGTGACAGGCCCATTCTTCCTTTCCAGGGCAGAGCCATCAGGGGGCCTCCGCTTTCTTCAGCCTTTTCAGTCCAGTGAACAACTGGAATGAAAAACACCAGCTAGGAAAGGAGCCGGCTCGTTAGGCCTTTCAGAACAGATGGAGTCGCTCCCAGTGCTCAGTGGACAGGAGAGCGTCCTCTCGGAACAATGAAGTGTGGTCCTGTGGGGGCTGGGGAAGTAAGACAGATAGGACGACTGCTTGTCCAGCCAGCACGGACCTAGAGTGTCCCAGTCTCGTTTCGTTGAGGTAGGGTCTTGCTGTGTTGTCCAGGCTGGTTCTGAACTTGTGCGCTCCAGCCATGCCCCTGCCTTGGCTTCCCAAGTAACTGGGACTTCAGGTGTGCACACCGTGCCCAGCTCCAGTCTCAGATTTTTGCTCCAGGGCTCACTTACCTCTTCACTCCTTCCAACTTCTTTCCTCCAAGCAGGAATATAAAGGAAAATGACGTGGTGGTGGGTTGTTCTTATTTACCAGCTGTAATGTGTCTCTCTGTGTTAGGTGATGTTCCTGCGCCTTATCCCATTTGATCCTTCAAAGTGAGGCGGGCACTGCCTACTTACACCACAAAGACAGAGGCTCAGAGGAAATAAGTGACTCGTCCAAGCTCATGGTATCTTGCTGATTAAAGGCACAACACAGTGTCGTGGACTTAATGTGACCTGGTTGTTTTTAGTGTTTGAATCCAAGAGAAAACATATTTTCTGGTGGAAGTGGATCAATCTAGAAGTCTTGATTTAAGAGAACATATACAATATCTATTATGGTACGTGGGGTCCTAAGGCTTAGAGTTGGTAGAAGTCAGGGGAGTAGAGCAGGGGAGAGTGAGGCAGGATGGCGGGTCATCTCCCCCAGATGAGTGCTGAGTGCACGGGAAAGGGGCAAGTGAATGGGCAGTGCTCCAGCAAGGCACTGGAGGGCAGGCTGTGCTGCTGGCCACCTGGGACCAGGCTGGTGCTGTGCACCCAGGAGCCACACAGGGTATGGCTGCTGCATATATGCGCTTAAAGTCTTAGTCTTTGAGACCATTTTTGG